GGCCACCGGGATTTCTTCTTCTGGTAGAACTCCAGGGAGATCTGCCCCATGCCGTCGGAGCCGGAGCTGCGCAGCGCGTCCTGCAGGGCAGCACGAGGGTCACGGGGGAGCAGGGACTGACCAACCCTCCCCAGGCACACCCCACTGGGGTTTACAGAATATCCTGAGCTGGAAGAGACCCCCAAGGATCATCCAGACCCCCCCCTGTGCCTGAGAGCAGTGTCCAAACACTCCCTGAGCTCTGGCAGCCTTGGGGCCATGACCACATCCTAGGGAGCTGTTCCAGCCCCCAATCACCCTGTGGGGGAAGGAGCTTTTCCCCAATATCCATCCAACCCCTTCCCTGCCACAGCTCTGTCCATTCTCTCAGTGCTGTCACTGTCCCACGGAGCAGAGACCAGAGCTGCCCTGGGGATGAAGCTGAGGAGTCTCCTCTCAGTCTCCTTCAGCCCTCAGCTGTTATCTTTTATATCAAGAGTTCTGTTATCATTATAGTGCAAGGATTCCATACCCTCAGAGTTTTGTGCTTCCTCGATGTTTTCTGTAAGCAGTTCCTCTACACACTGACTCTTCTTGGTCCTTGCAGTCATCATCTGAGTCCAGATCCCACCAATCCACTCTTTTATACCACTTGTTCTTATTAGCTACAGGTGTAGCTCCTAATCTTTTACTAATTAGTCCAGCTACAACTCGTTGGGGGATAAGATTACGTTCTACACCACCTTAATTTACCCATATGTATCCCCCTACACTGCTCATTTTAATCCACCCACACCAGCCCCCTGCTCCATCCTGGGGCACCCTTGCAGATGTGTGGCTTCCCTTTAACCCCTTTCACGCTCCCCATTTTCCCTCCTCTCACCTTAAACTCCCCCACAGCCTTGCGGAGGGCGCGGTCGAGCTCCTCGGAGGAGACGCGCACGTAGGCGAAGTCGATGAAGTCGCAATCCACGTCCTGGGTGCCCACGGTGCCAATGGAGTAGGTGCCCTCCTTCTTGTAGTGGAACTTGCCGGTGCTGCGGTGCAGCAGGACGGTGTGGAGC